CATTCAATGAATATTGTTTATAAAGATTCATTCAAGTTTTGTTGTCAAGAACTCTTGATGATATTTCGACATCTACGCATGCGTTACTGTTATAGTGTGATACCAAATCTATCCACATGATGATTTGTAGTTTATTGACTTTTCCATGGAATATTTTTTCAAAGCCCACTCTGTTCAACTATGATATAAAGTGAGAATTCATGAAGCGATATTTTGGTCAACTTTGATCATCAATAACTCAATTATTCTTCATCCAAGTATGCAACTCATATATATTTTTGGAATCAGAAAAAAAAGCTCTATCGACATGTCGGACAATATATAGGGTGTTCCATTATAAAAATCGAAGTTGATGTTCTTTCTGGAAAAAAAAAGAGTTAAGGGGGGGTTCCATTTTAAGAGGCGCACCCTGTACAGGGCTATACACGCGAGATTGTCTAGGAAATTTTTCGACTACCTATACATACAGGGTGTAATTTAATTGATAGTTGAAAATGAAGGATATGGTTCCTTAGCTTATTCTGAAAAAAAAAGTTCATATATAACATGTTATGCCCTAAACCTCTTTCGACCTATAGGGTGTTAAAATATTAAGAAAAAGTAGTTTTTTTTATCATAACTTCAATACCGTTCTAGATATTTCCATAAAATTTGAAATGCACCTACTAAGCACCAATAGGCATTTTTCGATGCAGGAGATTTTTTAATATCTCTACCAGTGGCGTACTTGAGGAATGTATCCTGGAGATTTTTTGAAAAAAATATTGTACGCCCTTGAATTTTCCAAGAATGAAAATTCTTTTGAAATCCTCATTGATTTTGCAACAATTTGACTTCCTGATTTTTCCGTTCGACGAACCGTTTTCGCGAAAAAAAAAAAAAAAAAAAGAAAATAATTTTCATGCATTTGTGACATAACGAAATTATTTTGAACTAGTAGGCTAATGCCCTATTTTGTATTTGAAATAATGACATTTGATCGATTACGTTGAAGTCTTATTTTGACAAGTAAATATTCATAAACGTGACAGTTTTTTACATTGTGAAAGTTTATTTAATCAATGAAGAGAAAATAAAATGTTAACACCCTATAGTTCGACAGTTAAGAGGTTTAGGGAATATGTTCATATGTTTTCTTAAAATGAGCTATGAAACCATGTCCTATATTTTCAGCCATCAATTGAATTACACCCTGTATAGATTGACTATCGAATCGAACATATACTACACGACTATTAGGAAAGGATGGCATTCGATGGCACCATGCACAGAAAATAGCTATTTTGTTTCAGTGTGGTGACCAGACGTACTATACTATACAAGGCCTACTCTATCTCTGGAGCAATCAGTCTCCCTTGCTATGTTGCCATTTATATGCCCTATGTGTAATGATTGGGCAAACAACCTGTAGATCGGAATTTCCTCAGAGTATCTTCTCTCAAAGTGAAGTGGTTCCAACAGTTATCACTAATATAAATGTTCCAGTACATTCAAGATTTGTTATATTTGTTATATCTCATCAACTTTCTATGAATGGAATGTCAATAACGTCACTATTGGAATGTTCAGTATCTGTTTTTTGTATACACGTCTGGCGAAATAAATTTTCTCTTAGTGCAACCGTCTATTGAAGTGAATACGCATACAATATTTGATATACAGGGTGTTTCGAAATTCGACCGACAACGCTTGACAGGTGATAGCCCTCGTGATTTCATAATCACTGAGATAGGAACATTCGGTCTTCAAGTGTTCAGTTCTCGAGATACAGGGCGTTGAAGTTGAGAAATTAAAATAGTTTTTTCTCGATATCTCATGAAAAATTGAATTAAATGCATTCAAATTCGGTATATGGTTTGATCTTCCAATGGTTAATTTTTTGACCAGAAAGACATTCCGAGAATTTTATCCAGAGGTGCGCTACAGAGGGTTGTGATAACTTTTCCGCACATATTTTCTACGCCACTGATGAAATTTCAATTATTTCTAATTTCTCGAATTGATTGTTCAATTATGTTGAAAAAGTGCATCACCTTCAACTAAGCTAAAATGAACAGTTATCGAGATATTTGACCCAAAATAGAAGTTTGCATAGTAATTTTTCATCTTCCTCAGTATTAGAAAATTACGAACATTTTTGTTCTCTCTTTATGCGTGGAATAACTATTTCTGTTCAGCTATAGCATGAGATCTGAATAGTATCTAATCTACTCAACACCAGAAAAATATTTTTGCAATTTTCTACTACTGAAAATGATGAAATATTACTATATGCAATCTTCTATTTTGGGTCGAATATCTCGAAAACTGTTTATTTCAGCTCAGTTGAAGGTGATGCATTTTCTGAACAAAATTGAACAATGAATTCGAGGAATTGGAAATAATCGAAATTCAATCAGTGGCGTAGAAAATATGGAAGGAAAAAATGCCACAACCCCCTGTAGGGCACCACTGGACAAAATGTCCGGAATGGCTTCCAGGTCAAAAAATGGCCCATTCAAAGATGAAACCATATACCGAAGTTGAATGCATTATATTCAATTATTCTTGAGATATTGCGAAACAACTATTTTCATTTCTCAACTTCAACGCCCTGTATCTCGAGAACTGAACACTTGAAGACCGAATGTTCCTATCTCAATGATTATGAAATCACGAGGGCTATCACCTGTCAAACGTTGTCGGTCGAATTTCGAAACACCCTGTATAGAGAGAAAAACAAAGCAACACTGCCAAACCTTGTCTTCCACCTACACGTATCTCGCACGTTTAGTCGTATGTTTGGCACACGAGCTACACACAAGTATAGGTATAATGGCAACGTCGCTTCCTTTCTGTTAGATACTCTTGAATCTTTGTTCGTATTCACTTCAATAGATGGTTTTCCTATGAGAAGATTCCTTTTGCCAGACGAGTATACATCAGGAGTATTTGAAATAACACTATTAGCAATAAGTTAGTATGCCAGTATATTTTCGGAAAAATGGTGAAGAACTTATTGATGATGAAAGCATTCTTGTGAAAGTTTCACAAACAAGTAGCAGTCTTCTACTCATTTGCATTGCATTTACATTATTTTTTTGCAGGAGGAGTGACAAACAGCATTCTTATAGCTCAGTTCATCCATGGGAATCTCGAAATTATTGTTGAAATCTGTAGAATTGAGAGCAGAGAGCGAATAAATGTTTGATTTCTACTACCCAATAATGAATTGAGACGGCAACACCATTCATCTGATGAAACTCCAGTAGTGAACAAGTTAACACGTGTGGTGTTTACTGTGGAAAAATCTATTAGGAGTAATACAGTTGAATACTGATTGTCCATAGCGTATATCTGTTTTTTGTGCTGGTCAACTGAAACTGGAATGAAATTTTCTCCAAAATCTGAATATTATTGGTTTAATATTGGACCACCTTGTACGGAAACCGATAAATAGACACCATCCAGTATCGTCTAATTCTCTTTAGACACGTTCGTGGAAAAAAAGAAACTCTCGGGAGAAATGAAACGCCGAATGGATAAATGTTTGTGAAAACGATCCGGATACTTTTGCAGAAACTAGTGTCAGACCATTAATTCTGCAGGAGTGCTCAAGGCATCTATACTCACGGATGATAAATTGGAAAAGTCAATTTGGGAAACGACCTACATCTCGACTTACATGGACTGGTCATTTTTTACCACAGTATTATTTATTCTACGAGTATATTCCAATTTTTTTTTTTTTTTTTGAAGTCCAACTTTTACTTTGTGACAAGGACGGTCCTGATGGGAACACAACGTCACTCTAGTGTTGTGCGAGAAGTACTTCTATATCCGCACTTGTAAGGAAAATTACTATTTTAACACCTTTTTCAGCAAGTAAACTTGCATAATATTCAAAACAAACAACAATGAAATTTACAAACTGTTAAGACTTTCAACTGAGGAGCCTTTTTTGACATACTGTTTTGTCTTCAGAAAGATATATCACGTTTCACAAAACTAATTGATTCCTGAACAGACAACGCTTTATATAGGTAGGTGATATCACTCGTGATATGATGGAAAATTAGATAGGAACATAAACAGTGGAGAAACCTATAATGGAATAAAATTCGTATTACCAAAACAGAAGAATATCTATTGGAATTTTTGTCAAAATATTAGTTAATAGTAGATCTTCTTCTTCGGTTTACGTTAATTAACCTACAATTAGGTCAAGTTTTTCATACTGAATGTCCGTTTACGCCTATGTACAATGAAACAGTACCTAATCACCAAAACCTTTCATTATAGGTAATTTTTGAAGGTAATGAGTTCTTTCAACTGAAGCTACCACATCCCCCTATCCGACGTTCTGGTAAAAAATTGTTTTATTTGACGGAGAATGCCATATACTGAATTTGAATGCGAAAAATTCAATTCCTAAAAATCATTTTTTTTTTTTCACCTTCAACACCCTGTATATCCTTATCTGTCATGAAATCACGAGGAGAACTATCACATGTAAAGCGTTATTGTCGGTCGAATTCCGCAACATCCTGTAAATCACAAGAATTCATCTACCTTGTTAAGGTTCGTCTCCTCTTTCAATTATTTCTGGAATTCCGAGTTATAAACTTGGATATAAACAAAGACCATTAAATCAAAAGTTCGAATTTCATGTCGTCAAATAATACAATCTTCCCTAACTTTATATACTTTACAAATATAAATACTTTTTTTACATTTGAACATGATTCACGGAAATTCATCGAAATATACGTTTCATTATTAATGAACGAGCAACAATTCCAATTAGGACGTCAGTAGAAGATTAATTGCAACGAAATGAAATGTTTGAACCTATGCTTCATGTAGAATTATGGCAAAATAATGTAGGTATGTTAATAAAAACATACATAATAAAAACTGATATAGAATGCTAAATTTCATTTATGCTACTTTTTTAATGACCAATCAAAGCATCAATGTAAATTGAAAAACATTGTGACGCTAGATAAAATATAACTCACCCAAGACGAAATCAGCGACGATCGCTTGTCAGATTGGTTTTGATGTCTGAAAATGAAAAAAAAAATGTAAAACAAGTTATTATAAAGAAATGTAATCAAAACCCACTAACAAATTCGGAACTAAGTAAATTAATATTTCTTCATGGATAAAGTCAAATAAATACAATTTGGACAAATCAATTCGGGGATTCCCTAACGGTCAACCAATTTCCAATCATTTTTTAAATTTTGATTAAATGCGATAAAAAATGAACGTAGGAATAGAAGTGAACAAGAAAAACACACTAAATCGATCAATCACTTCGAGAAACTGAAAAAAGAACTTGGAGGCACTTAGAAGAATAACTCAGCCCTATACCTGGAGTTGAAGTTGCCGAAGGAGCCACCACCGAGGAACTGACCATTGGTCACCAAGTTCATCAGCTTATCAGTCAAATCGACCCAGGAATATACCCACTGGTCATCTGGAGGGGGAAGGATTACGTGGTAACAATTGATTGTAAATGGGTCGTCATGGGAACAACCATAAACACAAACATGAACTTTTGTAGGTTGGCTTGTGGGGACTCGTATATACACTGAGAAAGAAGTTTTTCCACCACTAATCTGAGAAATCATCATTCGAGGATTCCCTCTAATGAGAAGTAACACTTTTCAAACCTAGGTAAATTGATATAGAACTTGACTAGATAAAACTGTCAATAGTGTCAATGATATACCTATGCAATATTCACATACATAGATGCGTATGCAACCATTGAAAAATGAAACATTCTTTGTGATCATAATTATTAATCCTAAAAATGCCACAACAAAATCATATGTGAGATATCAATGTCACTGTCATGTGTGAATTAGAGCAATTCAAATAACCATGACATATTCGGTATAGACACATTTTTTGACCAATCGCAACGATTTATTATGTAGATCAGCTCAATGATTGTTCAATGGCATCGACTGCAATATTCGAAAGGTTTAAATATTTCAAAAAAAAAAAAAAATTGATATGAATACTGTATTTTCAATATCTATACTTCCGATATTTATCAGTGAACTTCCTAACTTCATGTAGGCGTACAATCTTCTATATCAAAATCACTGTCACTTAAATTCTCACTAGTGTCTGTACTCATCCACAATTTCATCTGGAATTTCAATCCAGGGTTTATTTTCAATATCACAATTTCAGTAATAAGCACGAAAAAATATAATCTTGAAAATCTATATCTTGTTTTACAGCGAATTTGAAGTTTGAATCAAGTAAACATGTCTTGCATGAACTCTGAATCTTATTCAATCAAGCACATTCATGGATTGGTAACGAAGAGATATTGAATTGGCTCAAAACACTATTTTGTTTGATTCGAAATGACAAATATTTCGTTGATTCAAGAGGAACTGTATTTCGATCCAACAAACTGTCTTGTCGAACCAAATTCAGTATTGGTATAGTAAGTAAGTAAGTAAGTAAGTAAGTAAGTAAGTAAGTAAGTAAGTAAGTAAGTAAGTAAGTAAGTAAGTAAGTAAGTTAGTAAGTAAGGTATAGACGAGGCCAAAAGATCGCTATCTAGTGGTGAACAATCAACTTGATGTTGAATGAACGAAATATGTCATTGATTGGTATTATATATTTCGTTGATCTATTCAAGCAAATGATCCGTTCGAAACGAGTTGATTGATACATCGGAAAAAGAAAACTTGTATGTTGTTTAAACGATATATTTTCATCAAAGTGATCATTATTTCATCAAATCTACAAAATATATATAGTTGAATGAACATCGACATCATTTTGAACTTACATAATTCATTTTTGAGATAACCAGTTATTGTAATGATGCATAAAAAAAATGTTGATGCAACAAAATCTTTTTTCCATAGGAGTTTCAATGCCAAGGACCAGAAGTACTCTTTAATAACATGAGGAACAGGAACATTCCCACGTGTCTCTAGCAATGTAAACCAGTTGATATTGGGTATATATTGGGGTGTCTCTTTGGTTGGTTATGGACATGTTATGGACTTTTGACCCAATATGTTTAGTTCCTAATTGAAACTACAACAGACAAAAAAGAGATCTTAATCTTCAACATTTCTAGAACTTCTCTACGCTTTAGGCTCCACTTCTACCAGAATTTGAGGCCGATAGCGTCACTAATTTAAGCATATTATAAGATAATGCAGGTTCTCTGTCTTCAATAAATAAGGAATAAGGATTTGGGAGCAGTTGAATATTCATAAATGGTAGAAAGCTAGACATTTGCTCCCTAAATGAGAACCTTTTCTTCAGTGTAAGTAGATTCGTGCTGATAAATTAATGAAAACTTTGTGAAAATTCGCGGCGAGCGTCTTTCAGCTAGGAAAAATTACAGACCAACTGTTGAGTTTCATCATATCTAATCCAGAAATATAAATAAACGAAGCTGACATTCTCGATCACTTTATTTGCGGTCGGTAATTATCATAGATGACTTGTTCGATAGTAGCTTGGGGACTATGGATCGATGGTCGTTTATTTGAGTAACGTGGCCTTTATCCTTCGATATTACAATATTGTGAACGCTGATGACAATATTTAGTATACACATCGGCTAGTTTCACCTATTAAATTCCAAAATAATATTCTCAAAAATGAGTAAGTTTAAGTTGATCATGGGATTGTAGACCACAGTGATTTTTTAAAATAAGAGGGTGACAGACTATATCTCCATGTTTGATCTGTCCTCTCTACACATTTCTCGATTTTAGTATTGCGATTTCATGAGCGATGAGAGATCATCTTTATTGAGATTCCAGTAATCAAATAGCTTATTTATACAGGGTGTTACTTAATAACTCCGAAATAATTCAAGGGTTGATTTCTTGTGATATTTTAGAAAATAAAGTTCATATGAACATGTGTCCTAACTTGCTTCGTTTTCGAGATACAGGGTACCTATCAATATTTCCATGAAATATAGTTTTTTTTATTCATTACTCAATTGTCTTTTCATCAATTTCAATAAAACGTTGCTGTTTTGTTAATAGTAATATGGAGCTTCTTCTGATGCTATCAGATTCGGAATAATATTTCCAGTGGCGTCACAGTGGGTAAATTTATCGATATATATGGTGAATGTCATTGTACGCCACCGGTTTTTCTGAGTATGATATTTTTTTAGATTGAACTATTGAAATGACAACTTTTTTATCCTAGGTGTGATTTTTGTATCTAGCTTAGTTTTTGAGGAAACAATTAAAATTCGATTCGACTTTAAATTCAATGTATATTATAGGTGTTTTCAAGACTTCCATTGAGATTACTCAATCACCCCAATATCTATCATTTTGAAATTTTGGGGCTCAGAGGGGTTGAAAATAAAATCAATTAATACTTCCAAATTCAACATCCTGCATCTAAAAAACGGAGCAAGTTAGCAAAGATATGTTAATATGAAATTTATTTGCCAGAATATCAATATCAAAGAAGCGAAGGTCATTGAACACAAATGGAAAGAAATTCGGAAGATTATATCCACAACTGTATGATATATCACCTGCGACAATTTTCAAAACCGCCACCGCTGAAATGTTGTCATGATAGAATTGTTTATTGCTATTGCGCTTCGTATTGATCCAGTAATACCTACCAATGGAAAATAATATACAAATTTATGGAATGACAGCAAAACATGGATGAATTTCTGGTGGTTATAGTCGTTGTTGATTTTTTAAACATATCCTATATTGACTCTCACTGACCTATAGATAAATATAGCCTGAATTCAAAGTAGAATAACTCATAAATCTCTTAACCAATTTGGAATCGGTTTTCACAGATGATTAGCCTAATCTCTCAACATTTCGTCGAGGCAATATGAATCTTCAGTGATTTGAAATATAATTTCTACTGGGTGATAATTGAATGAGTGTAAAATTGTAATGTGGTCGTCACCATAACCTTACTGTTTGAGCAGATATTTTTCTCACATTCTTTCTCTGACCTGCATTATGATGACGATGCTTGCCCTCGGAACGTTTTCGGAATTTTCAGAGCTTTGATAATAGTGTTATTAATATTCATAGAAAATGATGCATTTTCTCAATGATTAATTGAATAATATTATCGGAAGTTGAGATTCTCGTTCGAAGAAATATTCGCGATAGAAAATAACACGTCGCTCCACCTAACGGTAGCAACTTGAACACTTCTGAGCGGTTTGTTTTGATGATATGACCAATAAACACAAAGAAAAAACAAATGTGAACCAATGAAAACAAAGTAAACATGCCGCTTTGACAGCTTTCAAGGCATCCGATAGGTGGCGTAAGCATTATTTGCTATATCGCGAATAGTGAAGAAATGTGTCTCATTGATTCATTATTCTACATGATTAGCAAAAAAATACTGTATAGTAGTGTATAGGGTGATTAACTATGAATTTCACGCTTTCAACACTCAATATCTCAAAAACTAATACAAGAACTTCAAAACAAAATCTTGAATAAGATGTTTTTCTCTTTCGAATGGTATGCCCTCCAAACATTATACCCCAATTTCATCTTTTCAAATGGAACAACCCTATATTTAATTGCATTTTTCAAGAGTGATTTTTGCCGATTTCAAAAATATATAATTTACTGGGCGAATCGATGGAATAAAACTTTAGATTAATTAAAATACTTGTCATGAAATCATCTAATTAGACTCAAGTTGAGCTGAAACAAGGAAAAGATCGATTGTCAGTTGACATGGCAGTTTGAATTCAATTAGATAAATTCACGACCGTATTTTCAATCAGTTTCTAGTTATATTCCTACGATTCACCCAATATTCCTACACGGAATATAAGAAAATTATATGTTTCTGAAATCAGGAAAAATCACTCTTTCAAAATATACAATGAAATATAGAATGTTCCATTTAAAAAAATTTACATTTTCACATCTCCCGTAAATGGAATGGTGATATAATGTTTGGAGGGCACCATTCGAGAAAGAAAAATATCTGATTCAAGATTTTTTTTTGAATTGACTCGGCCGTAACTTGATGGCAAATGTAAAAACTTCACGAACGATAAGATTTCCACAAAATTCTCAAACACACAATATGTTTCGCTAACACAGTAGCTTCATTGTACCAGTATATCACCTGACGAAGCTACTGTGTTTGCGAAACATTGTGTATTAAGAATTTTGTATAAATCCTATCGTTTGTGAGGTTTTGACATCAAGATTTCAATTACTTAATTATTTTTCGAGATATTGATTGTTGAAAGCGTGAAATCCATATAGTCATATACGCAATACGTTCGTACATACGGCTACGGCTAGTCATAAAATTTTTCGTCAAAATTAGAAAACATATCGTACGTAACCAGTTAGGATAAGCAATTTTGTGCAAAATCCCATCGTCACAAAAAATCGTTCGTTGATGCAATATAAAGTCCGTTTCTTGTTGTTTCCCTCGTACTTTCTTTTAATTATCCACGATTTTTCCTGTGACTCCTTATTCGCAAAAGGCTGTCAGGTATATACGAGTAGGAATATATTTTCCTCGTGATAATTATCGCTGGTTCTAGTGGCCGTTCCCAGATATTTCCAATTAATTGTCGAGAAAAGCCAAGTGTCATTATATCCGCGA